AATGAAAATTATCGAAAAATCCGACTACACCACGTGAAAGCTGAGAAAAAAACGCATAAAAATCATATTTTTAATTATTTTTCTAGTTTAATTACATGGTCATTTGTACGAGTTGCGATTACAGCGAGCCGCGAGTCGCGCGTTTGGGCGGCCGGACGAGAATCGATACCTGATTTTTCAATGAAACTTCAAACGCCTGTAACTTTGGTTCTAATGAACGTAAATAGGTTTTATTACCCTCAAATTAAAGGTCTTGATCTCAACTTTGACGTGAATATATTTAAAATGATCGTTCATGCTTAGTTTTGCTGTAAAATATCGAAAAACCACGCCAACATGCTGTTTTTCTTCATTTTTTGAGTATATCGTGTGTGCAAAATCCAAAATTCTTTTCGGAGGGTTCCCGTAAGTATTGGTTACTCATTATGGGTGTACCAGGAAGTGAAAACCGTCGCTAAACCCAAGGTTTAGCGATTTTAAGTGGTTTAAAACTTCAATTTACATTTTTTTTAAATTTTCCCATGTTATTTAAATGGGAAAAAAGCTGACGCGTGTGGCACTATCTAGAGTTAATTAATCGCGGTCGGACAGTGATTTTCTTTCATTGTGAGCCAAATGATGAACTTTCAAGGGGTGAGAGCGAGGATTGGAGCAATTCGGGAAATAACGGACAGTCTAATGTGTACGTACATACGACGACTCGAGTCTTGTGCGTAACATATATGGATCTTAAAATGTGCGCGCCAATGGGGCACTTGATGATTACTGCTGCTTCTGCGGGTATAGGCCGCCGCCGAGCATGGCAAGCGCCTTTCATAAACACATGCACAGCACACACACACGCATTACATTATTTCATTGGATAATAAAGGACAAGGAATCGTTGGCTTTCTAGCTGACTAATGCGCACAGCTCGACGACGGTATATATCTAATACTACCGATGATCCGTGTTGATTATTTTGATAATTGATTCGCGGCCGTACTTTCATCAATGTTTCTATTTTTTTCGTTGCACCTGCAACGGCAGCAGCACAACTCGAGCCATGATTCATACAATATAATGTTGATGTGTGTATCTCAATTTCGCAGCGAGCACATGGAATTTTTCGTAAACAAGACATTTAACTCGACGTTCATACATACACATATAGGCAGTACACAGAAAGATGGCACGTCGCGATTACGATACAATTGGAGTATATAACTATACGCGCGCGCGTGTGTGTGTATAGTATACACATAATGCCCACACACATCGAGTGTACAAGTACACCATATCGTGATCCGATTGGTCCATTTGTATATTACATACATGTACGCACGCGAGCGAGTTCATGCGATCCGATTTACGTCGCGTACATTAGATGCATTGAATATACATGTAGCCGCGTGGCGATCGTTTCAAGAAATAGTTTTTCATACGTCAGCGGCCCGAAAGTGACTACTTGCCTGCCGCTGCGCAAAACGGGAAGAGCGATTTTCGGGCAATGTGTTTGAAAAATAGTATACAGGCCAATGCCGCAAAAAAGGAAGCTTACTAATTACACGTACTCTGGGACTTTTCTGTTTTTCGCGGCCTAGGGCATTAATCGAATGAATGGAAAATCTTCGATATATATGAAAGGGATGACAATTATGAAGGAAAGAAATACTTTTCTCTTGCGCGAATGTGGCTTTTAACGCGGTGAAGCCTCGTAGCGGCGATCATTGTGAATCAAAATATATCGACTCGTAAATGCGATCGTCTGCTGCTTTGAAAATGATTTAGAATCTTTGGAAAAGAACTGCAGCTTCGATATAGCTCTGCCAATTGTGTCTTTTCATTAAGAAAAAACAACTTTTTTGCGTACGTAGGACACACATGATAAACACATAAAAATAAGTATACTACTTATGTTCTATGCATCTTCATGTTTTAGATCAACTATCATTGTAATGGACAACAAAGTCATGTACCAGAATCAAAAATCGTTGACATGAATCATAGCATCAATGCTCTTATCGCGCGAGTCGAAAGCAAGCGGAAAATATCGAGGAAATCCGCGAGCAAAGGAAAAACAACAGCAAATAGCGCGATAAAGAAGTGACCAATTAAAAGACAGCGTCGTGAAGAGTCCTCGATAAGTTGACAACATCGATGAATATTTATAATGTTATTATTTACTCGATGTTTGCCCGAGTTCTCTTGCACGCATATTCAGCATATATTACAACGACGTTATACGGACTTCAGGGTACCTATACGTATGCATATTATAGGTACGAGCTGTGCGGTTGCGCTCGGCTGGATACTTGCTCTCTGTACGCCGCTCCTCTCTTTTCTCTCTTTCTCTCTCTCTTGCGGACTTATACGCGCGTGTGTATGTGTATGTGCGTATGCGTGAATGCATGTGTCCATGTTCGAGTGCATACAACACACGTAAACAGACGTTTTACCTTTCCTCGCGCAGCCGATCGCGTTGCTTTATATACGTGTATTACCTGCGCTGCGCTGCTGCGCTACCGCGCGTACATGTATATATAGCGGAGAAAGGCAGACACATACGGTGGAACGCGCAAAACGCTCTCCTCTCGCTGCAGCTCCTATATGAACTCGACTCGTGTGCAGTTGCATACTACTACTACTACTACTATACGCACATGCAGCGCACCAGCGAACAAAGCGCATGGAAATTATGACGCGCGTAAGGGGGTATAACGCACGCATACGAGCGCAGTTATTTTTTGAATTTTTTTCTTCCACTCTTGGCATTCCCGCGCGCGCGCCTATGTGTAGTAGCAGTAGTAGTACCGAAAAATAATGCATCATTTCCGACGAAGAACCAGAGAGCGAGTTCGCCGCTTCGCGATTCTGAAATTTTTGCGTTCGTTTGCGCTTTTTTTTCGCGCGTACTGTGTATAAAAAAGTTGCAAGATCGCGCGCGCGCGGCAATTAGACTTTCCTCGCGCGCCCGAGTTCAGTCAACTTGTCGTCGTACCGCGAGCTTTTCTTACCGATGCGTGTATAGTACGCGTATTTATTTATCGAGTGCGTATACATACGCAGAGGGTACGTCGAAGAATGCGCGCGCGCGGCTTACGCAGCAGAAAACGCAAAAAAAGAAAAAAAAAAATAAATTGCGAACGCACGACTGCAACGCGTGCGGCTATACTCACTACGATATCATTGCCGATTTTTGCGTACGGAAATCGGTAATTGAGCGCGTGTACAGCGATTATAAGAATGTGTCGAAAAAGACGCACGATCGGCACTGGATTCGAAACAACAGCTCTATGTATAACTCCCGAGGCCGACTGTGCACCGCTGCTGCGAATACGACGATAGAAATGTAAGACGACTCTTTTCCATGTTGGCTGGGTCGTACGTACGTACGTACCAGTAGTAGTAAAGCTTGCACGCGCGCCGGTGGCGGAGGCTGCGATATCGTACACCATGCCGCGTATTACGAGGATATCCTCATAAATACTCGCTCTTTCTCTCTCTCTCTCGCCTCTCGGCTTCCCCTTTTGCCTTTTTAAAGCTGCATCAGAAGCATTACTGCATATAAGGTCCATTGTACATTTTCCGCTACGCATATATAGAGAGGTACCCGAGATAGAGAGAGAGAGCCCATCGTCTACTCCTATATAGGTACGCGTTTTACGTCGGTCTCGTCGCTTATATAGTAAAAAGAGCCGCGCGGCGTAAGGCCAGCATTGGCCTGAATTCCGTACTAGTGTAGCTGCAGCCAGCCGCCACCGTTGCTCGCACACACACAACTACACACGCTCTATACCGATCTTATTAAAGGTCTAATTAACCGTTTAACGAGATATATTTAACCAACGGCGAGGCGTACAACACGCGCGTATAGCGCGTTCGAGCTGCACACAGACAGCAGCAGTTGTGCTGCGTACAAAATAAATAGATCGCGGGAACAAAGTGAGCTGTGTGTTGTCACTATATGTTATATACATGTTCGTGTGTATGTGTGTGGGAGGCTGCGCTCGAGTCCTGTTACGATTATTTTATCAAGAGTATATGAAACGCGGGTACTACATTTATTTCGCGTATATTCCAAATTCGACAGACTCATTTTGCTTTCCTAATCAAATTTTTTCTTTCTTTATAGCCAATATCCCAGGTAGGATAACGATACTGTGCGTAGAGTGAAAAGCGAGCGTATATATATTACGAGTTCCAACTTTTCATCGTGATATATACCTCCTATACATCCGAAGCTATATAATCAAGCCTGTGCCGCCACAGACGCACAACTTTTACTTTGGACAATCCGCGCGTGCGTATGCTGTGTGTGTGTACTTTCTCACGCGCCGAGGCCAAAGGCGCGTAACCGCTAATTAAACACATTTTCCGCGTTAGACAGAGAGCGAGACCTAAACTCTATCTAGGCGGTGCGCGGTCCGCGCAAAAGTTAATATCTGTATGTGTACCCGCGACGGCTTTTCGCTTGGAAACTGTATACGTCGAGTTTTGTTCTCGCTGCTACTCCGCTGCTGTTATCGTACGCCGCGAGGTGTGATAAGGACGTTAAATTATCGATAATGCGAGCGACGAACGTGGTGATGACATTCGTGTTTCTTCCAATTATATAAGGTGTACAAGGCACAAGAACAAGGTAGACTCGCGGATTTATCACACGTTATAATATACTCGCGGGAGTTATGCTTGGTCATTTTACAATCGCAGTTTTGTTGTTTTTACGTGTAAAGAAGCGTCGGCGTTGTCTGATCTGACGACGAAGACGAGTAGTCAATTTTCGGAGCTCTTTCTCTTACGTGTTATAACTATTTGTTTTATGATTCAACGCCGCCATAGAGTCGACGTACTCTCGCGGGCGATCTTTAAAATTCCCGAAAAAACACAGATCGCGTCGATTCTCGTTCTCTCGAAACCTCGAACTCTACTCTTTTTTTTAGGCGCGTCCTACGCTATACTACCTTATATACTATATTTATGCACAATAAGTTTTTTTTCGCGTGCTATATGTACAATACCTCTTTCTTCTCTGACAACGGCGAGGGCCAGGTGCGCCGTCGTGGCCACGAGCAGGCACAGCAGCAACAGGTAGCAGCGGCTCGGCCTCCCCATCGTCGTCCTTTTCTGCGTCATTCTTTCTTCTATCCTCTTCTTTATTTTATTTTTTTCAGCGTCGCAGCTCTCGCTTCTTCTTCTTCTTACTTCTTCTCTTCTTGGGATATACACCACCACCACCACTTTGTAAACGCGTGCACTATTATATTCACTTTTCTCTCTCTTTTTTCACGGAATATCCTTGATATTCGGGTGTGTATGTGTGTTGTGCTCTCTCACGCCGACGACGTATTATATAGCCAACAGCAGCAACAACGGTAACCTCCGGCTCGTCGGAGCATCGTCAACCTCGCGACGCACAATCACAATCACATACACACAGACACAAAACAATATGATATGCTGCTGCTCTCGGCGCGTTATAATAATCGCGCTCCGCTTATCGCACCGGTAAATTGGCACCCGCACACAACAACAAACATCAACACCAACAACAACACCACCACCACAACCACCACCGATCGAGATGTGTCGTCGCTGCAGCAGTTGGTCTCCTTCTTCTTTTGCTACGTAATCGCGCATACGTATACGTTCCGTGCGTTTATTTCGTTGCTATATATCTTTATGCCAGATATATATTAATTATTGTATTAATAATTATTTTTCAGCAGCAGGGCGCCAAGGACGATCGTTTCCAGCTCGGCTGCGGCGTCAGATCGCGCGGCTGCTGCTTCTTCTTGCTGCTCGTTGACGATGACGACAATAGTCCTTGTCGCTCGTTGATAATAATATTATTATTCTTCTCGTCGTCGACGACGCGCCGATGAGAATCGCACATGTCGCTGGGCGCCGGAGAGATGCGCCGCCGTGAGACACTAAATATCGCTTGCTGCTGCCCAAGACACACACACGCACAGTTTATCCTTATTTTCTCGAAGAAAATCCAAGCAGAGTCGCGAGGAGCCGCACTTCGTATACACACGTTGATTTTATATTATATTATTATTCACCACACACACACTGTTACGTATATTTTCTCATCGTATACAAACATTAAGAATCACACCGAGTTACACACACACCACATTTGCACCTGTGCCGCACCACCTTTCGAACGATCGACCTGTATGATTCTTCGTTCTAACTTTTCCTCTCGATGTTGATAAAATTCGTATCACTTTTTGCGATGAACGAACGACGCGCGAAATGTACTTTATGTTCTCTTTTTCTCACAACTTTTTGTTAAAAAAGATCGAGCGCTCGCGAGAAAATGTGTAACGACACAACAACAACACCGACGACGACACGCGTTTATCGTGCGTGTATAAACACAAACGCGCGCACCGACTGTTATTATTGTGTATATATCGCTTGGGATAGGACCTCACTCCTACGCCGCTCGAGCGTCGAATGCCGCTTGGTCGTGCGCTGCGAATGTAGTGCGGGGCCCACCGTTGTTGCGTGCCAAGACCCGAAGGTGGCGCCGCTTTTGCTGCTGCGAATTTTTCGCACGATCGCGACTGCTCTGCTCTGCAGGTAAAACGAAACTCGGCAGGTACAGGTGTAGTTGAAAAAATTACGCGTTCGACGCAGCGTTTTTAGTGTTTTGAATTATTTTTTCGAATTAGGAAGGAATTGAAAGAAAAACATCGTTAGGCTTTTTCATCTTTCTGATTCTGTTTATTATAAATAACAAGATGCATTATCATCGTGTGCACGTGTTTTTTTTTGTTACATTATACCTTTACTTTTACACAATGGTATTTTTTTGTTTTTTTCTTTTATTATTATTTCTGAAGCTCCATCTATAATTTTTTTTATGTATAAGGTGTGAATTTTGTTCAAACTTATACTCGGAATTCCGTCTCGGCTTATAATGTTTCTCGCGCGCGCGTGTGTGTATATTATCAGAAAAGCAAGTCTCACGCTGTTTTAATTTTTTTGTTAAATCATCTACGAATTGCAGCTTCGAATACTTTTGTTTATTGCGTCGCTTTTGCTTTTTTTTTATTATTCAACTCTCTAGTCCTATCCTAGCTCTGCCTTGCTTTTCTCTTTAAAACGAATATTTTTTATAATATACCTTTTGGGTAGCACGCGTACAAAGTGTGTGCAATTTCGCATTTATGTTCAATAAGCACGAATTGCGAGCAAAAGTCTTTATTTTTTAATTAATTAATTTATTTTTTTAAGATAATTTTCTCAAAAACAAAGAGTCAATGCTTTAAAACGGTTACAAACGATACATTTTTCGTACAAAAAAATTGTATATTCCAATCCTTGAGCATATGAGGAGGGATTAATCAACGATATACATTCAGAACTTGTCAATATTGTGTTTTTCTTATGTAATCCATTTATCAGAGGTAACACAGGTTTTTTTTTATTACAAAACTTTCAATGGTCATATGTCGTTTTTATTTACACATTGCTTTATCGTGAAATTAATTCAGAGAAGGATGTTCGTTTTTTCTATCGATAAAATTCTTTATATCCTATACAGTTAATTATTTTTTACGCACAAGATGTATATTTGTTTATCGTCTTCTTTAATTTTATTATAATAAAATAACTTGAATTCCATCGAGATACAACATGAATGTTATATTAGTTGTTGGATTTGTTTTGTTTTGTTTTTTTGTTTTATCATCATATATATAATACGTGTTATAACACTTGGTAAACGATCAACGATCATACAATGTTCGATTAAATATCTTAACTTTTATCCACTTAAACATCGGTGATCATGGAATTTTTATGGACAAGTTTTTTTTGTTTCACATCGAAAAATCATCCGCAATTAGCAAGTATAGAAATGCTGCTGCTCGCGGCTACACACAATTCGAAAAACGGAAAATCTAGATATTAACAAAATATTACACATAGCAGTTCTGGTTTTTACACTGGAATATTTTACATAGGGTTTTGTTGTAGTAAGCGCTTTTTTCATTTTAGAATGAGATTTTTTTTATTTTTATATTCAAGGAGAGGACTTATTTCTTCATGCAATCTTTCTCTCCTCTTTTTTATAGTCAATTTAGTTTGTTAAAAAATAAAATCACCACCCGCAACACGCCTAGTAACTATATTATTTATTTTCATCAATTTTTTTTCGCTTCCTATACGAATGCCGCATCGATGCCTTAAAATTATTCTCGTCTTTTTGTTCTCAAAACGAAGCTCCCTCTGCTCGTCAGTACGCAATATAGTATATATCCGTTCGATTTTTATTAATAAACGACAAAAAAAAGAAGACGCATTCCTTGGTCACACAATCGATCGGCACAATACAATATTACAATCGATGCAAAATAATCAAAGAAAAAAATTTCTCGCTCCTAATACAGAGAATTTCATAAATATGTTTTCGTATAGTAATTTCTTAGTAAGTGTGAACTCAGTATATCGTGTGCGTGTATTTACGGTGAGGAACGTTACAGATTCTTATCATCCTCATTGCAAAAGCAAAGTTGCCCATGTGGGAGAGAATATGATCCATGAAATATAATATACAATACCACATAATATCGCACTATAATATAAATATATCGCGGCACTCGTTGAGACACGTAGCCCAGAAAATAGTAGATAATGTTATATTGTCTCTATCGTATATAGAAAACTAAAGGCAATCGATTAAATAGACTTTATATATAATTTATATATATCATATGTTTTTTGGTATAATTTTTTTTTACTGTCATAAATTTCTCGACAACAACTTCCTAATCTATGAGCTACGTAGGTTATCGTTCCTTTTTCTTTCTTTTTTTCTCTCTCTGTATCCTTTCTTTCATTTATTTTTTGTTTTTCGTGATACAACAGGCACGTTTATTTCTTCATTATTCATATCACTTTAGCTATTCATATAAGAGGCATGGTAAAAACGCTTTTGAACTATATTTTTTGCAGTTACATTTTATTTTTGCTATCGTAAATCTATTTTTTTCCCAATAGAATTTCGTACGATAATTAATTTATCGATTTTCAATTACATTATTTCTGGAAATGATTAATTAAATTTTTTTCTTCTTCGTACACTTTCCTCTCACACTCTCTCTCTCTCTATCCAGTTGTTTTCGAGACAACGAAAAATGAAATCTAACGTGTAAGCCGAGTGATAATTTATTCTTACTTTTAAAGACTCGAAAAGTAAAGTTAGCTTATTATTTGTCGATAGGACAGTAACAACGGAAATCGATGATAAAGCAAGAAAAAACCCATCTTCTTTAGTAGATCAGCTCTCAGCTATACAAGTGGCACTTTTAATACAATAATACTCTTTGGAGCCCTTATAATTTTTTTCCTACATGATCCCTGTACGTATGCACTTGATTTCATGACCGATTCTCTGAGAAATTCGTCAGGTCAGAAATGTTTCTCTAAATGATATAATGGACGTGATGGTATCTCGTGTCATGGAAAACAGCACGTTCATTATAAAACCTACGAGAAAAAAATCGTTGTTCCAGTCTAGTACTCGACAGAGGTTTGGTCATACGCATGAATATATAATATAAGTGGCGTAGAATTATAATATAATTTAATAATATTGCCGAAGCGGAAAAGCACATGTGACCTCATCCTCGTGGTAGGCCTTCATAGGTTTAAATCTTAGTTATTTTGTTTTTCTATAGGCCAATTTTGTAATAATATTTGCAATAAGCTCGCGTGAAGAATTCTCACGGTTGAATTGTTCGCCAATTCTTTAGACCATTTTGTATAACGATTAAAATAGAATAATTTGTTTTTTTTTGTTGTTGCGTCGATTACAATTATATCTGATTAGAGACGATCATTAAATATTTTTTAACCAACGCGTATGTGTAAAAAAACTCGAGTTAACAAAAATTTTCTCTTTGTTTTTTCTAAGCGTTTTGTGAGCTTATCAAGAAGGCGTATAATTTAGGTACAATATACACATTTTAGCTTAAATTATTATAGTTGTATATATAAATATGTCATTATGAATACTGGAAAATACTATTGGAGCACTTCTTCCCGATGCTCCCGTTCTTGTTTGTGAGAAAATAAGTTATACGAATACACACTCTCATGTAAAGATTAAAAATCAAAAGTTTGAGCGCAACGTCGCGTACTCGATACATTTCAATTCATTTGCCGCATTTATAGTGTATACAATCTACTTGTATGTGTGTGTGTGTGTCGCAAAACAACGACGAACGTCGCAGTTCACCGTTCAATTAGCGACTGGATGCGATATCGGGAACATGACTCTGTCGAAAATAATAATCCGATTTTCTATACGCATGCTCTCGGGCTTTTTTTTTCAATTTTCACGCGCGGCCAGCAATAAACCCATGGAACGCGATGAATCACGGTGTGAATTAATTCGCTACCTATACACGCCTAACGCACACACAAACACGCACTCTAGTTTCTCTCTTGTGTGTCGCAAAAGCGACTTTTTTTTATTCTCCTCACTCGTTGTTGCGATTGATTCACGAAGAACTCAAAAAGTAGAGGCTGAGGTTGTTTTTCTCGTTTTCAAGATAATTACAAAACTATGCACACACACACACGTGATGTATAGTGAACTATAGAAGTGTTCGACAAAAGCATCAGATCTCTTCAAGGTAATACAGATCTCTCGAAGAAAAATTGGAATGCAAAAAATACAGTTTTTTTCCATTAGTTTTAGATATGATTTTGTATTTTTCAGTGAAAAAAGCCCTTAAAATCTAATCGTAATCCATCTTAGAGTTGATTATAAAATGAAATTTTTAGGAAATTTCGACAACCCTTTTGTTTTTATTTATTAATATTTTTTTTTGTGTGAGCGAAGTACATTCAATGCTTTTATTTAACAGCATAAGTTCGAAAGGGCGAAATGAAAATCTTGAAGGTTTTCTATCGTCTGTATTTGCATTTTTTATCTGCGGCATACGCACTTTTCGCACTCACACACAAGCACACACAATCAGACGCAGTCGCGCTTCAAGCAATCAACGCGACAGATTTTTTTATTCCTTTTTTTTTTGGTTTTGTTTCATATCTCAGATCTAGTTTGTTAAAATATACACAAATGCCAAGAGCAATATAGACGCAAAAGTACATGCGATGGAGGATGAAAACATTTTCCGTTCGGATTTTCTTCTCGATCTTCTTCTTTTTCTCGATAGAAATGGGAATTTTTTTCGCTGCTCATTGATGATGCACGTGGGTGTGTGTCGTGACTTCTCATAACTGGCCTTAACAAACGGCTGTTTCTGGCAAGGGATTCTCAATGATGCGCATGGTTGCGGTGGGCCAGTCTATTTTCTTACTGCAGATATGATTCAGCCCTTCGAGCGACGCTAGTCTGTAATCGGCCATTTTTAGCGGGGATAGTGGTGCGGCTGGAAAATTAAAACAAAAAAAGACAATTGCAACGATGATGATCAATAATAGTTTTTTCTACCATATACATTTTTCAGCAAAATTATATGTTAAACGTTATTAGCATTTCTAAAGCGTTAGGGCTTGACTCAAGTTCTATGTAGAACAAATTTGCTTCGACAAATTCCTGCAGGTAAAAATTTTATGAAAAGAAAAAGTTTAAATAGTTGGATCTTTCTTAAAAAAAATCTTCATTGCATCTACTTTACTTTTTAAGAGGCACGACATAATACGCCTAGTTAGTTGTATTTAATGAGACAATCTAAAAAATATTTTGTAGCGAAAGTACCAATTGTAATTTTGAGATCGAAACATCAGATTTTTGTATTAGTAAAAGATTTTTCTTTATATGCATTTTTTATACGCAGGGATTAAAAACAAAATCAAACTCAAGCGTAACGTGCAAAGTATAAAAAAGAAGGAGAATGCGTGTGTTTTTGTGGTCTGTTGTGTGCAAGAAACAGCAAGATTTTGTGTGTGTCGTGTTATCATAGTGTTGTCACACAACAATTTATCAAATATTAAAGATTTTCTACGAACTACTCGGTGCAATAGAATAAGTTAGTTTTTCGTTGTCCATTGATGTATATTTTTCATTCGTCATACGTTAATATAGCGTGTCCTAGCGCGTGAATTCAAGAGCCACTATAAAAATTAAAATAATTAAGTACAGTTTTTTAAAGTGATTTTAAATTAACCACAGGAAAGGTCGGGGTCGAATCATACATCAAGTTGGGCTTAAAAATCGGATTTGTGAGGTAATGAAGATAGGAAAGTATGTCTGAAATAATTTGATCATTATGTCTCTCATTTTACAAATCTTCAAAATTAAATTAACGATTATTTACAAAATCATAAAATATGGTGTTTTGTAATGATTTTTCTACCACACAAGAAATAGAAAATATTGTTCATCAATTTGTCAAGTTTCTTTTCACTTCGAATAAATTATCTTGTACAAATTGTGTATGATAACTGTGTTAGTAAGCAGATTATAGATACTATTTTTGTTTTTTATTCAAGGGCCTATTTTAGAAAAATTTACGTGCAGTGCTGTTTCGAAACTTAATTGCAAAAATATTTCCAACTATATAAAAAATATAATACGTTCAAAGTAGGGAAAAAATTTTTCAAAGAATTTATGAAGCAATTGGTGCTAAATAATATTTAATCATTTCGTAATGAAACTCAACTCTGATTAATTTTTCAAAACAGATATTACCCGTTAGATGAACATATAAAACACCAATTACAATAGACCACATAACTATAAGCTTGAAGAAAACATTGAAAGAGACACATCAAATAATTGAGAAATGCATAAAATGATAGTACCTAGTAGGGAGTGAGTCAAAGAATTAAAAAAAAGTATTAATATTTGACTAGAAAATATAATGGTAAAATTTGATAAATTTGAGAACTTATGAATGAGATAAGTAGAGATTTAAAGGATTTTTAAAAGTTTTTTTTGAGGATTAGAATTTTTCACTTATTATAATCATCCTAAAACTTCAAGCGTCTTATTATTATGATAAAAACCCAAAAAGTTCTGCTCTAAATTTTTAATCACAATTTTCTAGCATTAATGAGTCCAAAAGTTACGAGGCTGAGTTTTGTTAGTAATTTAGTATTCCACGAAGCCACCATTATTAATAAACCTCTTAAATGTTACTTCCGATTAGTTTCGATTAGTCAATATTTTAGATTTTTCCGAATATAATTTTTTTTGTTTCCGACTTACTTAACGATTAGAAGTGGGCTAATTGACCGACACAGCGCGTTCAACTCCTTTGCGGCTTCAAATCCTAATAACATTTACCTTCGGGTGTTGTAGACGCCGTACTGAGTCTTCCCGAGCAGTTCGGCACTAAAACGCAGAAGAAATAAAAATGACTCGTTTTATTAAGCAATTTTTTCACTTAGTTCTTACAATAAAAATAAAGGATTTAGTTTTTGCTACAGAATTAATAAGGCCCAATATAATCATCAATTTGGTGACACTTGACGATACATGATTATTTTTAAAAATTTTCTGATGTATTGTGTTATCGAAACATCATATTAAACCTTATTAAAAGTAAATTATATTAATTTACAATGGAATAATTGTAATATTATTTTCACAAATGTTCCATATCAAATCAAATAGAATTTTCTTATTCAGTATATTACGATTCAATCTCTGCTTCTATTTCAAACGCGAGTTGACACGTAAAATATTGAAAAATAATGCAAATCTCCGACGAAAAGGAAACTAGCATGAAGTCGGCATAGACATATTTTTCTACTATTTCAGAAGTAAAGTTTTTATACATACCACTCGATCGATCCGAGACGCGTGGGAAATAAAAGCTCAAGTCGGTGAACAAGGTTTTTACTTTTCATTTAAAATTATTTATTTTAATAAAAATCAACTTAAAACATAATTTGACGAATGACATGAAGTAAAAAAAAAACATTACGGTAATATAGTATAGATCAGAGACGAGAAATCATATGTGATGATTTTTGATAAACTTTTTAAAAATAGAAAATATAACGTTGAAAATAAAATGAAAATTCGTTGAAAGTAGGGTCGAATTTTAGAATGATCATGGAAAATTGGATCGACAAAAAATATTTCATACTTTGCTGTAATGTAATGTAAAGTCCAAAAAATGAAAACTTCTCGTCAATCTAAAATCCAACACCAGTTTTTATTAACTCATTCATACAAGACAGATTTAAAACCATTACTAAATAGTGACAGTGATAAATCATGAAATTAATAATTTTACTAACAACAAGATGACATTTCATAACAATAACAATGAAAGGATTTAACATGTTTCACAATCTACGGGAAAAAATTCCAACGATAATTCTTGAAAAAAAAAAATTTGTTTGGTCTTTCAACAAAAGAAAAGAACTTTTTTTCAATCTGAAACGTTTAATAATGATGAACTAGTAAACGAGTACAAATCAATTTCCACACTTACAATCAATAATAGGTTTAAAATTTTTATTGATTTTTTGTTTTAAATTATATGGCTCCTAAATGAATTTCGACTTATTTTAATCACCGGGCGAAAAATTGTTTATTCTTTAAATAATGATCTTATTTATTTTTGCTCCGATGTACAGTTGTACAGTTTACTGTGACAGAAGCGTATAAGTTGTGTACAGGTGAAAAGTGCTGGTGTGTTTCTGTGACCAAAAAGCCAAACAGAACAACGGATTACCGTCTAAGACAGCAAATATTTTGTCATTCTTAATCGTTAATTTTTTGTTGTTGTTGTTGTCTTCGTTCGTTTGACGCGCAACATTTATCATTTAAGTTTACTACTTAATAAGTTTCTGAATTATTTCATTTCTTCTCAAAGCTACTCAATAGTTATGTACGTGCAATCTAAAAATGTTACATGAACTCTTGTTTATAGCAAGTATCGCGAATATTTTTTTGGCTTATAGACTAGATTATTCAAGCTTCAAAAAGTTGAATGTAAATATTCGTTTAATATTAATTACACATTTACTTTAAAGTTTTACGAAAAAATGGACAGTTTAGCATACGTGAATAAGCTAATAATAACATTCGCGAACATCAATTATGTGTCTTTTTTTTCATCATTTAAACTTTTTTTTTTCATTAATACAGCAGAAAAAGCTCTTAGCATGCCAGTTCCATCGAGATTAACGTTGCTTTCTTTTTTATTTGCTTTACTCATCAATGATATGTAAAATTATGTACGAATCATAAAACGTTAGAGAATTTTTGTACACAAAGATAGAAAAATCAACAGAAAAAAGATACAAAAAATTGTTGTCGATAAACGTATATCAAAGTTGCGCTTACAAAACTAATTTTCCTCCAAAAATCGTATGTACCAACGAATTACCCAACTGCCCAGGATTCGATATTATCATTTATCGTTATATAAAAAAGTATATTTCCCTTTTCGAATTTCCCTTCGTCGTTTTACAATCGTCGTCGTCGATTAAGGATATCATTACAGTCATTATTATATCAGCGAATGAACGATGTAAGCTTTTAGATTGCGTCGTACAACTATAATATACGAATTTACATGTAGCTAGATATTTTACCATCTAGACCAAGAGGAACACTTATTTAGAAAAACACGTGTCAATGCGTGTAACGCGTCATAGTTGTTGACTAAATTAAAAAGAGGAAAAATTTTTGCATTTTTTTCAGGGTTCTTTTTTTGTACCCCTTCACAACAACGATAACAGTTTTCTACTTTTTTTTTTGCATCGGCTACAATGACCATTGGCCGATTATAATTGCGATGATGCAGTTTTTTTTGTTCGCCAATGAGCCATTTGTTTGTCAACTTGCATTATATATAGAATCAACAACTAGATGAGGCAATTAAGTATTTTTACCTGTCAAAAAAAAAGAGAAAAAAAACGATCAATCAGCACCGATCGACCGTGAATCGTTCTGCTCTCTCTCTTTATAGTTAAATATCTTATAATAGTGTCCCTTTTTTTCTCACACAGCTCATCATCATTTCGTCTCACCAATTCAGCATAAAATTGATTCTTTTTTTTGAATATATATAAGCACGTTTTACGCTTAACAGACATTAATCTAAACAAAAATTGATGAGATTCGTGATTTTCTTTTTTTTTGTAGCTGATAATAATCAATTTTTAAAATCAATAAAGATCAATTCACTTGATTTTTGCTCATATACACAATAAAATTATGCTCGATAAAGGTCTATTATATCTGTTAGAGTGTATAATTCGTCAAGCATCTCTCCTCGGCTCACTTACCATATCCTTCACCCTGCAGGAACAATCGGAAGGCCTCGCTCACTTTGCCGGGCTGCTCCTCCAGCACCATTCCGCAATCGGATATCTGCAAAAGCGAACGTTTGCCGAACGATCGAGCGCGGAGCGAGCTCGAGTTAGTCTCTCTCTCGAAAAAAGCAACAAAAAAATGGAGTACGCGTACCTTCATCCACGAACTGTTGGTGGGATCGAGGCGTCCGTTGAGCGTCACCGTGTCCTCGACGTGGGGACTCAGCGAGCCCGTGATGTTCATCACCGGCACGCTCAGGGTCGTGTTGTCCTTCTTGCGGGTGGGGTCGAGCTCGCGCACGATGTTGAGATCGGTGCGGCGCACGTAGCTGTCGATGAACAGGGCCAGATTCGTCGGATTGACGCGCCGCTCGAAGTAGTTCTTGTAGACCTGCACGAGGTCGTGATTGCGCTCGTCGGTGTCCTGTCGATTCAGCGGGAGGGATGGAGAAAAAAAAAGAAAACTATTAATTCTTTCTCTCTAATTCTTTTTTTCTATTTTTTTTTCGTTCGACTGACGCGCGCGGGAGCGCGAGACGCGTGCTAATCCAATTTGCCCTCGCGCACTCTATAATAGAGATTTAATACAGAGTGAGAGATGGACAAGTGCAAGTCGATAATTCGTGCGAGGGAAGTGCAGCAGCTCCGAGCTTTCACTCCCTCTCTGTAAAGCCCACTTAAATGATGAGTTTTCGCCTCGTGGGAAAGAGAGAGAGAGACAGATGGAATGAGAGAGAGAGAGGAGAGAATGAGAGGCGAAGCAGCAAATGGATAGAGAGCCATTCGAGCGAAATATCTCGTGCTTGGCAAACATCTAAGCCAAACGCCAAGCCGAACGTTCGAGCTTTTTTCTCTTCTCTCTCGTGAGCTTTTCCATACTTGTCGAGGGCAACAAAGAATGTCAATTAATTTCTTCGACGTGAAAAAACACGCACACACATACAGACAAATTTACAAAGGAAGTGTTTGTGTACGTGTGCCCTCCTCCCAGTAGCAGCAGCAGCAGCAGCAACATCTGGATTTGTCCTCGACCTGTTTATTTTCGTTGCTCCTTTTTTTCAATTACCGTAAATGCACTAACTTTTCGGACAATATTCCTCGTTTCGGAGCTCGATAATAATTCAGTGCAGGAATTATTTTTACTCACACACACTCTGTGTATAAGTCGACTTTAATCAACTCGATTTCGCGGCTCGCGGAGAGTTAATAATAATCTCTCTCTACTCACCCTGCCGAAATGATGCCACATGAGATAATCGAGGACGCCCTGGGTCATGCCCTGCGAGCGCAGATGGCGACAGTTGAGTTTCTGGTAGCCCCACTCGATCCAGCCGGCCTGCGTCGAGACGCAATTGATGAGGCACAGGGCGTTGACCTTGTCCGGGTGGGCCAGGGCGAAGCGCGCCAGGACGTTGGCGCCGACGCCGACCCCGAAGCCGATGGCGTTGCGCAGCCTGAAGTGGCCCATCACGAAGAGCAGCTGCTCGGCCAACTCGTCCATCGTCGGGTACACGTAGCTGTAAGCGCGAACAAATATATATAGTTTAAGTTCGAGATCGAATTTCCCATCGATTTTCCGCTCGCAAATTTGCCTTAAATTTGGCACACGCTGCCGCGTTGGTATCCTATATAGAGTCGTGTCTCCAAGTGGCCGGAGAGTCGCAAGAGCTTAGCATGCAAATCTGCAATGCGGTCGAAATCACTTGTGCAACTTAGCTCTTACAGCACACGACTCTATATGTAGACGAGGAGGAGGAGGATGGAGAATATGTATTAGCGCGCGCGAACTACACTCGAGAATATTAGCCATTTAGTATGTATAATAATTTGGGCAGAGAGCAGCCCCGCCGCGACCTTAATGCATGAAAAGTTTTCCTGTGGGTATAACGACTTTTTGTCATGCGGATGCGTCTCGACCTTGTGTGTAAAAACAAAAAAAAAAAAAAAACAATACTTACTCGTCGGAGAACGACGGCGCTCCCTCCTCTTGGCCGGGTGCGTTCACGTGATAGACGCAGAAGTTCTCCAGCAGGACTCGCATATCGATGTAATTGAAAAACGCCTGGAAGCTCGAGATATCTGCGGCACACAGACGCACAAAATTACGCACAAACGTTTTACTTTAATTTTCTCTCTTATTCGTATACGCATTTATAGAAGTGGCGGTTTGGTGCACTTAATAAGATTTATAGCCACTCGCGGGCGGCGGGGGGAAGTAAGAGAAGTAAAATTTGCATGATAAGTCGCACAGGCTCTTGAATAATTTGGGATGTATATAGAGTGAATCGCGCCGGCGCGACATTTATCAAGGAGTCGAAAAGGTATAATTTTTTCCCCCTTTTTTCAGTCTGAATCGTACGAAAAAAAAATAAGAAGAAAATCAAGTCCCGGCGCGGGTGGCAGCAGCCGCCGAGGTGCTGCGTTGTGTAAGTTTTGGAAAGCGTCCAACTTTTGCGCTATAACGTCGAGCTGCACACTTAATTTTAACAAGATCCAACCCCCCCGCGCCCTCGAGTAATATCGACCCCTGCACCAAAAAAAAAATTAACCAAATCAAGTGTATATAAAATAAGAACAATAATAATACGTACAGTTAAGGCCTAGATCATGATACGTGATAATGGCAGGTTTCGCACGATTGCCCTGGACGGCGACCACGACTGAGCCCTTGTCGGTCTCCACTCGCTCCTCGTGCACCGAGCCGTCGTCCCTCGACAGGTACCTCAGGGCCGGGAACTGCAGCTGGATGTTCTTCAGCTCGATGTCGTCCATACTGTCCGACGGCATGGCGCTGTTTAGGTGTCGTTCGAAGAAAAGGCAATGAATAAATTTCGGACTCGTTGGAATTCATATTACTTAATATATTATCATCGAGGTATATTCATCGGTTTTAATTATGTATTTAGTCGCTCGGTTCGGCTTTTTAGGAGGCAAGAAGACGACGACGACGGCGACGTCGTTCGGATTTTCTTCTAGGGCTATAGAAGACTTGGCTATATATGTATAACAGTGGGGGGTGGGTCAGGGGGGAAGAAAAGAGGCGGGTGGTGGTAGTAGTAGAGCTGCCAAGCCTATTGATAAGGCTGCACGTACATACCTACGAGATATATACGTAAGACGGGTCAGAGCTGCAAAATTATGTACACGTCTAGCGCCGACTACACAATCGATAAATCCAACAAGCGATGTCAGTTTATACATTACGTATAGTATTATATAGAGTATTACATATATAGGCTAGGTACCGAGTAAATTATTATCCCGAGCTGTATATTCAACGACGAGGAAATTGTAATTCCTTTACTTCGTCTCTCTCTCTCTCTCTCTCTCTCTCTCTCTCTCTTGCTCGGCAGCGTATTATGTGCCAGTACTATTTACTGCCCCCTTTGTATAATGTGCTCGTTTGTGTTGTATGTATGTGTGTATAATGCAAAAGGCCAAGGAGAGAAATTTGCTCCTTTTGCGAATATCCTTTTGCATTTACACCGATAACGTAATAAAGAAATATCTCGAGGCATCGAAACTCGCGGAAGATTGCTTTTGACTGGCTTTAGACCCGATAATATGAAAACTATTTCTCTCTGTGCCTTTGCGACTGCAAAAAAAAAGAAGAACCCCCTCAACGCGGGAGGCGGACGAAGGAATTTTTCAATCGAATTTTCCGGAAATGAGCAGCAGCAGCAGCAAAATCGATCGGTGAGTGTAGTAGTACTAGTAGTAGGTACAGCAACGGCGCAGGGAGGGGGAGATGTCGCTGTCGCCTGGCAGAGCACACACACGTCGATTAAAACCATTTAGCCGTCGATCTTGTTGTGTCGCACGCGTCGAGGTGGCACTGACGTATTTATCAGCGACGAAAATTTCGGACTCAATGACCTCGAGAGCTGGCTATAGCGAAACCACCGCTGCAAGCTCGTGTTGCGATAGTACGTTCGAAACTGCAGCAGCAGGAGTCACGAGGGAATATAGCCATACAGCAATTACAGTATATGGATACGCACACTGTACGCAGTCAAAGTTCAACGACCGAGGCCCCGAGTTTCGTCGAGTTTTCATTTTCTTCCCGAAAATTCATATAACGGGGGATTTCACGCGGATTGTTTGCGTAAAACTAATGTAACACATATAACTACGAGCAGCAGCCCCTGCATCGGCGCAGAATGTAATTATGCCGAGTGCTATCCTTTGAATTTACGAGCGCTGCGATGCGCTTTTCTCAATTAATTTTTCCGCGTGTATATTCGTATTTCGTCGGATATTGAATAACATATATCGATAAAAAAAAAGAGAGAAAAATAAAAAAATTTGACTCGATCTTATACATACACTCGATATACGTCGATCTCCAATTCATGTGAGCGATGCCTCTCGCTCTAAAACCAAATCTCTCTCTCTCTTTTTCATCAATAAAACCGTGAAATTCCTCCTTCTATATGCCAACGATCCACACACACACACATACAGAAATATTAAATCGCGCAGCTCTCGAAGCTTTATACACTATATATTACCACTACTCTCTCGAGGCGCATGGCTCGCTCGAAGGAGCGGAGAAATTCAAACTCTCCCTGTGCCGCCGCCGCCGCCACCGCCGACGCGCATATTTTCCGCAACCGAACCCGACGAGCGCAGAAATGTTCCGAGAGAGCTTCATCTCATTCCGATATATATTCATATTCGAGGTATAGGAGGAGAAAATATCGCAAGAAAAACATTTTCGTTATTATTGTTAGACGCGACGAAATTTCGAGGGGGTAAAATACACCACCACGTGCGGCATTATAGATACAGGAAGTACACCACCGGAGTTTATTTGTGCATGTATATATGCAGCACACAGCTCGCGCTCGTGTGTGCACCCGAGAGAGAGAGAGAGAGAGAGAGAGCAGCGGCCGTTGGCATCGATCGTCGTCGTGTCGGCCACGCCCGCGCGCTCGTGCACAGCAGCAGCAGCAGCAGCAGCGGAGGAACAGACACGGAATAAGTGTCTGCTGCATGTGCGTGCCAAATATTGCGATCACGCGACGTAGGGAGGAAGAAGATGCGCCCCTCAGCCGTTAAATAAGCGTTGAGTAATGATACATTACCGATTGATCTGGATATCGTTGAAATAATTCGATTTTTCAAAAGAACGATCGTTCAATTTTTTTCTCCATTTTTACAATTATCTGCGATAAACGCTGTTTTTTCCGCGCAGCGAGATGCAAACTCATTAGTACTAACGAGCAATTGTAATTCAGCTCGAGCTCGCGGCGCGTGGAAGCGGAAAGAAATCTCGCTGGAAACCTTTTTAGTTTTTTTTTATTTAGTTTTTTATTTTTTTTCGCATAAATGCACGGCAGCTTTATCGATTTGCGAAGGGTTGGTTATTATACCAACCCTCCCCCTTCCCCCCGCCGCCCTCGACGCAGGGCACCTCGCTAATCACGAGTAATACCTTAGCAACAACGCTGTATATAGAGGTAGGTAGTGGTATTAGAGTCCTGAGAAAATTGCCGAGGCTCACGCGCGTGCTGCAAAGTGTGCAAAAGTGCAGCACACACACCTTATATTCCCTCTTCCTCGGAGAGCCCCTTTATACGACGAGAGAGAGAGAGACAGATTTATGCGACGACCCAATTAATTTCACGGGATATACCTTGCGGGTGTGTGTGTCTGTGTTATGTCATCGCGAACGCGATGTAATAAACTTCTTCTTCCTCGCGGCAAGTAGAGAGAGAAAGACTCTCATCGTGGCAGTTTGTTTGCTTTTTTTTACTGCTGCTCTATTCGTTTCCTCGTAAAAAAAAATGAAGAAGAAAAAATTGCATTTAAGCTGTGATTTTGTGTGGGTAAGGGAAGGGGACAGTTTTTGCTGATTCGCGCGCGCGCCCGGCGCATCGGGCGAATAAACTTTTTGTGCACATCAATCCGAAAGGCGTGTGGGCGAGGCGTAACAACTCTCTAAACGAGGGAAACTAACTTTGGCCCGCGGAACTAGCGAGAGAGCCAAGCCTAATAACTCTCGCTTGTCTGTTCGAAATTGAAATAATTTGTTTGTCAGAGTCCTTTTTTTTTGGCTTTTTGTTTAATTACCGTTTTTTTACTGCTGCTGCTTCTTCTTCTTTCTCTCGACGTGTGTCATATAAGTGGAACAAAATACACGCAGAGGGTAAAAGGGAGGGATATTTATCGACACAGATTTTCGGAGCCTAATCAAATAAACGAGTTTTTCTCGGAAAAGCGCATTACACGAGATTCGCGCGTGTGCACTTATAAGAGAGCTAATCGCGTTAATGGGATAATGACCCCGCTCGTTTTGTTCTCTTTTTTTTTCTCGTCTTCTTCTCTTTCTTTGCGCTCGAAGGCAGCAGACGTATCTCGCGTGTATTTGCGCGAGTTTTTAGTTCGAAATACCTTCCGCAACGAACGATACGTATGCGTGTCCAGAGGTCACACGACATCGTGTGCAAGCTCGTTCGATTTTCTTCTTCTTTTTTTATGATTAAATAATCGACGAGTCGGAGCAAAAAAAGAACGACTGCATTATACATACAGTTTCAGGCGTTGTACACCTGCAATTTTTCCGCGCAACGACATTTATCGTAATACAGGAAACGCAAATACATATTTTTCTACTCGAGCGTATGGCGAATTCGTAACATACGAGTAAGCTCTCGAGTTTATTCAGCTACACGTACATACGCCGAGAGCACTGCGCGTTGAATTTTAAAGACAAACAGCGCATCTTACATATATTCGTAAAATGATCGTAAACGTAACTCTATTTTACGCGCATCGGTATATAGTATAGCGAGAGCAGCAGCACAACCCCCTTGTATTTTTCGAATATAAAAAGCACTACGTAGCCGAGCGACGTTCTTGAAAATGTCAGGGTAAAACTGTTTTTTCTCCTTATCGCCTTTTACATCTTTTTACAAAGGTCGAAAAATACTTAGCGTGCACTTTCCGTCCTTTTTTCCTCTCTAGCCCATCGAGTTACGGGCACTTTTCGAGTGGAGTTTATGAAAAAAAAAGTTGCGCAATATCGCGGAGGATTATATTATCGTCCAAACGCGATCGTCGAGCGAAAATCAATCGTCGATCGCGTCTCTTCGGGTTACACGCGTGACAAATATTATATGAAATATATAATAATTGAGAGGAAGAGAGAGAATCATAGCGTGTGGTATCTCTCTCAAGGTGCGCTGCGAGCGATATTATTATCATTGTTGCACGCTTCTGACCTACATAATAACGCGGAGACGTGTTGTATGTGTCTCGTTTCGCGCGTCCTCGAAAGGGCACCCCCTGCGCGATGATCATTTCGCGAGCAACGTATATACGTATTATTTTTCCCTCGAGCCAAGATGAATATTAAATTGAAAAATGTTTTTCTTCGCACGCGTACGCGCCCCACAGCAGGTGTATATACTACTACGCACGTTTCTTTTTGCTATTTTTCCATTATATTAAGAAATATGATGATGATGATGATGTTCGTTCGCGATCCCGCCAGGAGGACGTGCCGCGGCAAATCCCGCCGCACAGTCCATATTCCATTGCGAAATTCGTGCGATTTACTTTTTTTCCGAAAAACCAATTCAATTTTCATGATATTATTATTATTATTATTTTTTCAGGATCACACAGCGTGAAAAAGCTGCTGCTGCTAATACGAAACTATCATATATTTCGTTATCGTGAAAAGAATTTTTCAGTCTATGTCACGCACTCGGACGTACATATTCTATCGGAGATCGATAAATCGATGAGATAATAACTCTCGATGTAATAACGATTAATCATGTCATTTCCTGGCCGTATTACACACCTACCGCACGCGATATATATATACGCGTTTTTTTGAAGAGATTAAGCCTCACGAGAGTGGAAAAAGAAGAGCAAAAAAAAGCACAATCGGCCCACTCGAGTCGACTTTTTTTCTTCTCCAGCGCGCTACTCTTGTAATTATATTTTATACGTATTTCCAGCGTATGAAAACTTTTTTTTTCCTCCCCGACGCGCTGCTGCTGCTGCTCTTGAAAAAATAAAAAAAAAAGAAAAAGCTCTCGCGAAACTTTTTTCATAGGACTTATTATTGCCGAGCGAGCGAGACTCGAATGAATAAAAACTCTTTGCGAGCGATCGCACACCTGCTCGTATAGATACGACGTATACATATTTTATATTACACACAGAGTTGCGTTGTTTCTCTTTTTCGCGCTTTAAATCGCGCACACGTATACGTATCCGTTCGAGCCGTTAGCAGCAGCGACATAAGCTCTCGACGGATTTTCCAGGCACGTATCGCATCGGTACGGTAGTGCTAGTGGGTGGAGGGGTGTGTGTGTGTGCTTTCCGTCGCGTGGTACATACCATTTCCGTCTCGGCTCGACACACACGTGTGTGTGTGTGTTGGTGTGTGGCTTTATCGAGTTCCTGTATCGGCTCGCGCGCGAGTCATGATTTATATACACCAAGAGATGCCTCGGAAATGTTAAGTGCGTTCAAGACGAGCCTGATGCTATTTAGCCCATTTACCAATTAAATACCAACGACTTTGAGATATACAGGTTGGATAAATACTTTTCGATCGAATCTTGGTTTTGCTATATACACAAACGTTTCGAGAGCAATAAAAATGTAAATCGGGTGTAATTCGATAAAACCCTTGCCAAAAGCTGACGCAGCGGATCAACGTTTTTCCCTTTTTTTATTTTCTCGAAGAGAGCAGCAGCAGAGCACTCGTGACCCAGCGCGTACCTAATTTTATATACCATTTATCAAGAGTACCGACGCGCTTGTAAGTGTGTGCTTTTCTCGTTTTTCTTCCTCCCATTCGAAAAAAAGAGAACCTTATCGGCTTTATCATCGATCTATTTTTTTTGGAAAATATTCGAGCCGACGCGGACGATACGGATTGCGCATTTTTGATCGCGCACACACATATGTTATCTCCGCGCAAGCTCATCGCGGATTAAAACGTGCGTCCGTATGCAACTGAATAGAGTCAGTGAACACGATTTTAAAAATGGAGAACGATATTGTGTTCGTAAGCGAGGTAGAAATTTCCCTATACTCGGTCTAAATTCCATTATATGATGCATTGTATGAATTTACGAGGTTCATTGAAATGCAGCGCAGCTTGCACTCCGAGAGCTTTTGAAAAAAAAGTAGCTGATTCCAATGAGCCGCGGGAGCTCGCGCACATGAGAACTTGTTAATTATTAAAAAGCGGGAAGTCGATCATCGAGCGCGCGCAATATATATTATATATAATATATATAATATTAATTAGCGCTAGTGCTGCAAGCTCGCTCGCGCGCACCGTGACCTATATTTTGACGTATTATACGCTCGCCACGCGCGCGAAGGATATAATTCGGTATTATTATAACCCGATAGATCGATCGCGCCGAGAGAAATGGATTATATATTGGATTTGAGATAAAAAAAGTGAAGGTAAAAAGAGAGACACAAATGTACGTCGCATCAGTTTCTCTTCGTTCGCGATCCTCCTCCGGTTTTTTTTTTTCATAACAAAAAGAATCTCTCGGCTCACATTGTATAAATTGTGAGCTTGCAGCGCGCGATATACACAAGTTTGAGCCGCGTCGATCATTGAGTCACGGAGGCAGTAAAAAAATGTTTAACGTATTATTTTTCGAGAAGATATCGAGCGTACAATGCGTTTAACTATATGCAGCCGTCTGCGTCGCGATAAGCGAAACTGCTGCTGCTGCTACCGAATGTTTATATTTATGCGGTAGCCGCGACGGTAATAATAATAAATAACGTATTCCTAGTCACGCGTCGCCGTCGACGACGGCTCATTGTCTCCTCGGATGATCGTTCGCGAACGATACGCGACACCACCCCGTATATATGCGTTGCGACGCGTCATATCCTCGCTAACGTAGCGGACACTAAACGGAGCGAGGCCGATGAACTGTGCGTCCGCTTAAAGAGCGACGTTACACACACTCACTGCACACCGACGAGAGAGGAAAAGAGAGATCGTCTTTGTTTCGAGGTGCGCAACTTGCATAAGACTCATAATTATGTCTAATGAGACGAGCGCAATGTATATACCTTCGCGTGTAAGTGTGTATAAGTGTGTTTATACAACTCCACGTAGTCGGGCTCGTCGAGATAATCGTATACATACTCTGGCAGCAGCCGCGAGCGAGGAGAGGCTCTTTTTTTTTCTTTTATTACGAGCTCTCGAGGAGAGCCGGTCGTTAAAGTTGCATTAAGTACCAGTCGATTTTCCAAGAGAGAGAGAGAGAGAGAGGTCAATTGCGCCGAGCGAGCGAGGATATATCGCTCTATCGGGACGACGGGGACATTTTTAGAATTCGACTTCTTTGTATATATCGTGTGCACCGCGCAAAACTGCGCAAAGAACATATATATCCATCGAATCGATATGATATTCAAAAAATATTATAAACGAATCGACTCCCGAATATAACGACACAATGGACGCACGCATATAACACGGCACAAAGGAGTTGTAGTGCAGCGAATCGATTTAACCATGCGTGCAGCTATATATACGCGCAAGTTTGAATTTTCAGCAGCGGCGACCGACTTAATCCGGGACATTATTTTCTGGTAAACAAAGGAGTATATTCGTGATATAAGTCCTGCTCTCGTCAGCACCTATGTACGCAGCTTTGTCCGGGGGTAAAGCCCAAAATCTGGATGTAATTCCGGTGACGCTTTATATTTTCGAAAAACCCGTCGAGTTTCTTGGGTTTCACGCTGAGATTTCGTTTCTTTTTTTTGTTTGGGGAGGATATCGCAGGGATAGGGTCACCTCTCGTATAAATGTATCTTATGTGTTACGGGCGGTTGTATATATTAGTTTTTTTTGTAGAGTATAAATCTTGTGTTTTTTTTTCAACGTGTAAATGCTTGTTTTTTTTTTGGTTTTCTACTGCTAATAACTATTATATTTAAAATTTTCATATCATAATAAGTAAATAAAATATATATGGCATTATCTACTTTATATTGTACAAAAAAAATACTCAATCAAGAATGTGGAAGTAGTAATTTCTGGCATTAAAGTACTATAAATAATAATAATAAATAAGATTTACGGACTTTCTCGTTTACGTTTGAAACCATAGACTAAAAACTTCATCGATACCAAAAAAATTACCTTATTCTCACTTTTGACGACTCGATCGAAAAAGTCTTTCGTTCGAAATCGATCGATCGGACTCGCTCGTCTGGAATGTCGCTAATCTTTCTTTCTTTTTTTTTTTTAATCAAAATAAAATCAAAACCAAACGTCAAATCCTCGGTTAATCACAAAAAATCCAAAAATACGGTTTCTCGTATATGTATGCGTTTTAATTAATCGCGTGTAACACCATCGTCCATCACGCTGCGACTTTAAGCCACACACACGCACGTGATACAGCCAAAAGTCGCATAGAGCGTGGGGCATCGTGGCGATTTTAGTCCAAAAGCATTGTGTGTGTTATATATAACTTACCCCAGAAGGGCCGATTCCTCAGCACTGGCGGCGGTCGGCATCTTGGCTTTATCTCTGAAAACAGAAGTGGACAGGGGGCGTGTATAATCGCACACCGTCGACTGGTCGCACAGCTCTTTGTTCACTTATTCTTTCTTTCGTTATTTTTCGTTCTCTCAAACATCTAAAGAAGTCTGCGCCTTTCATTCGACCACAATTCCTCTCTTTGGCTGTATACGATAATCCTCTAATCATGCTATTATATCAAAGCTCACCCCACAAGCGCATTACGTTATATATTATATACATTGGCACACACTTGCATACCCCAAGAAAACAAACGAAAAAAAAGCTCAACTTGCATACGGCATGCACGATCCACTTGCGATTAGATATTACGTGACGACACAAAGTTATATTACGCATATACGTTATTTTACACATACTTTTGTTTCCTTATCGTTACGTGTAGATTTATGTACAAAAATTACAGTGTGTGTTGTGTAATATGTATGTGTGAGTGACACACACGTGTGCATGTAATATTATGATTACATCGAAACTCACAAAAGCACATCTACAAGCTTGAGGGCGAGAGATACGAGAAAAGTAGGACAGGTGGCGAGATAATACGAAGCAGCGAGGGAGTACGTAGTGTACAGCAGCGCAGAGCTAATAAATAGTTGCAGCGCCGACGATTTTGCCGAAACACATATCGCTCTTCATTGTTACACACGACGCGGCGGCGGCGGCGATGTCGAGGAAGCTTTGAGTGCTAAAAGCTGACGCAAGTGTTATGTACGAGGGCGCGCGCGTTATAAGAAGCGCATTGGGAAGCTGCTGCTGCTGCTGCTGCCACGTTAACTGTGCAGCAGCGTGAGCGAGCACGTGCCACATTTTCCTTTTCACGCGCGTCCCGCGTCTACTGTACCACTGTAGTAGCACTGGAGAAGTTTAGGCACGTCTCTCGCTGCTGCCCGAAAAGTGAGCGAGAGAAAGAAAGAGAGAATTACTTTCTTCTTTGGAACGTTGCATTTTGCAGGTCTTACACTCGGAGCAACGGCAGCCGCCTGCGGAATCGAGTTAAAATATTCCAACTGTGCAGCTCTCTTCTCTCTCGGCTAAAAAGTTGCCACTATTCCGCAGTAGCAGCAGCAGCAAATAGGGGATCCTCGAGAGTCGAGTTCGAGTAGAGAGATACGCGATAACCCGACAACGACGACGACGACGACGACGACGCTATTATAACACACGTTACGCGAGATCCTGAGCGGCGTATGCGGGGGGAGGGGTGTAAATAACGCACCACCCGTATACGGTTAAGCTTTTGCAAGCTCTCGCAAGCTCGCGTACCATACGAAACCGCACCGAGAGAGAAAGAGAAAGAGCTGACGGCTACGCGCGGGGCCAACTTATAATTAAGCATGGCGCGCGTTCGTGAATTATGTCGCGCTACGTACAACAGTGTGTGTATAAACGCGCGTATTTCAAGCGGCTCGACACATCGCCTACTTGTTTATTCGAGCGTCGAAAGATTTTAATAGTCCACTGGGTGTGCTATATATCGATTGCTCGCACATGTGTGTTATACATATACACGCCTATATCAATTCTGGATGATCGAAAGAGATACACATGCGGTGTCAGCAGCAGTAGCAGCAATGCGAAGGTAAAAGATAGAGCGACAAAATGCATATAATACAAGCTTGTGTGCAGGCACGTGTGTGTGTGTGTGTGTAAATACACACATCTACGAGTAGAGAGAAGGATATAACTAGCGTCACGTATGTACATATATATACATGACTCTCTGTCAGGAGGAGGAGGAGGAGGAGGAGGAGGAGGTGGTGGTGGTGGATGGAGGAGGAAAGCTTACCTTGGCGCGTCAGCGTGGTCGGCCTGCTTTTCGTCCTGTGCAATATTTATACTCTTGTACGAGAGAGAGAATAAGAGAGAGAAAGAGAGAGAGTCTGAAAACGCGGAGAAGTGGGGTCACGATCGATCCTTGGCACTCAGGCACACTACCCCTACCACTACTACTGTAGCTACTATCTACTACTACTACTGCTACTACCCCTTTCGGTACCTTCCAGCTTCCGCTCTTTTGCCTGACGCAAACGATTCTGCTACGTTCCGCGCGCACAAACACACACGTATCTCTCTTGATATTTTTGTTAAACGTGTATGTGTGTCTATCTCTCTATTTCTCTCTTTTTTCTCTTTCTCTTCTCTCGAGCCCCCTTTTCCCGAGTTTGCATCGTCAACGACGACGACGATGAGAGCCGCGAGCAAAAGGTTCAGCTCTCGAGCCTTGGTTATAAAGTTTGTCCAAGCGTCGCGCGACGTATGAACTATTACGATCGTTGCCAAAAAAAGAAAAGAAAAAGATCGGATATTTATTTTTCCGCGTCTTTCAAACTCGAAAACGCGAGCGCAGAACTAAAAATGGGCTTGATAATTGATTGGGTGTATATAAGAGGCGCGAGGGAGGAAGTAGGAGGATAATAGAGGTGAAGGATGCGGTTAGACAACGATTGGCACTCGGAGCTCGTCTCGTCCGAAAATATCCTCGCGGTAAAAGCTCGCGAGTGCTTGTAACGATGAATATTTTACACCGGTAAAATAATTAACCCATCACCTGGCAGCCCAGAGCACCATCACCAATTTTTATTCCTTTCTTTCGTTCATCTCTCTCTACGCAATAATTTTACCTGGACACGATCGAGATCGTCTCGCGTCGCTGCTGCTCCTCGATCAGCGGCTCTTTCTTCCTGCCCTGGGCGAAGTCGACCTTCATCACTGCCGGCGCGGCGAAGCTGAAGGCCTTCTTCACGGACTCGAGCACGCTCGCCGTGGTGGTGGTGCCAATGCCACCACCGCCGCCATTATTATCAGCTACGGTCGTGCTCTTGTAGACGTCCTCGCCCAGGTCACCGAGCGACCTGTACGAGGCGCCGATACCGCTGGCCGCCGGCATCGTGGCCGCCCTGCCTCTTCTCCGGTACTCGGAGCGACGCCAACTCCGACGATTCGACCAAGTGGTCGCTCGCTGCTGCTCCTCTTCCGCTTCTTTTTCCTCCTTGTTATTCTCACGATGGTCCTCGAGCTCGCTTACTGCTACTCCGGCTGAAGCGGCGGTTGTATTGGCTCGGACGAGCTTGCGTCTCAGGCGACTTAACGTTCTGAAGCCTTTGGCAACGTGCGGCAGACTTGCATCGGACTACTGATTATCACGTCGTGCGGTGCAAGTGTGTTTAAGTGTGTAAAGTGATGAGAGACAGGCAAGTTTAGAGAGGAAGAAGATCGAGTGTGAGAGAGAAAAAGAAGCGATATCTGTGTGATGAGCTGTATGATGGCTGCAGAGCGCGATGAACCTTGTGCGTTTGGGGTGGCGTTTGTCGATCGAGGCACAATAACTAAGGAGAGACAGTTATGTTTCTGTGTGTAAAAATTATCTGCATATTCGATTGATGGCATTTACATCTATGGATGAGACTTTGGGTTATATGTGGTTGATGGTGATGGCGATAATGATGCTCGATTGTTATTTTAATATTAAATCTTGATGATAATGTCCAGCGTACTTTTTCCCCAACTTTCATTATTTTTTTACGAAAATCGAAGTACGAGAAAAAACAAAAACAGAAAAATCCGTTGAATACCTTTACCCGCCGGTTCGCAACCGATCTTCTGATTCGGATTTATAAATGTGCATGAATATGAAATATTATGTAATGATCAAATAGTACTACTTTATATTATATATAATAATTCTCACAATCATGCATACCTTAAATAAACTTAATCTAGATAATGTGGACGGTGAAAAGATGATGTGATTTTTTGTTTTGCATAGTCGCGTATATACCATGCCGCATATCCATTATTAATACGTCATGCAACTTTTCATCGCAATAATGCAATTTTGCCACTCTTGTTTTATTACAAATTCTGTACGAGAACTACGTGAAAAAAAATACACGTGACGATATTACGATATATATACCATAAAACAAAGTTTAATATTTTCAAAAGAACTCGACAGATAAAAAACATGCAAAAAAAAGGAGAAGAAGAATAAAAATACAGTATCAAAAGAATCAAACAACAAAATGTATACTGAGTAGTTGTATTACGTGTTTTTTTCCTCATATTTCCAGTGAACTGTGTTTGGCGAACGAGGAAAATATCGTATCGTGTTCTCTTTTGCTTTGCCATTATGACAAAAAAAAATTTATAATTTTCATACGTGAAACATGTGTCGCGGCTATATATGATTGAAAATTTCGACGCATAAGCTCGTGGGTCGTCCAAAAAACACCACACATACGCATACCTAATCAGAGCCAATCTCATTAATGGTGCGAGGTACATGATTATAACAACGAAATTGAAAAAAAAACATTCCGTGTTGCGTGTGTGTTTATTTATGTGCGGGCCGACGGTGGAATATACATATGGCTCTGTATATTATTAAAAATGCGTGAGAGCTCGTTAATAGTGATTATCATTATTATTATCGTTATTATTATTATCGTGATGAACGCAGAAAGCCACTCAAAGTGCGCTTCGACAACAACAAAAAAAAATTAAAAGAAAAAAAAACTATAATGCCATGATGATGATGACGATGAGATAAAGTCTCGGTGCTTTTTTTTTATAATATGAAAAATTCAAGGTTTGCAGCTTGCCGCTCGGTGCACTCACTCAAATACATACACACAATCAAACACACACACTCGTAAAAAGATCTATAATGTATAGCTCGCTCAACATATATACACGCGTGTAAACACACAGCTTGGAGCGCGCGGAGCTTATAATCATGAAAATATGCAAGTAAAAAATGTTCGATTTCGAGCTCGCGATTCATATATATATAATGTATGAAGAAAAAAGATGGTTCCGTTACGTACATCTTTCACAGAACGCGAGCACAAAGAAGGATGAAATGTACTTATTGACATTTCAAAGAAACTCTATTAACTCGGACTTACGAGTCCTCTGATATATATCAAAATTCACTACACGCTCCACCTGTGCACAATGTGATACACACAAAATGTGTACATAGTCTCGGGGCACAATGGGGTATCGAAGATGTATAAGCACACACATACAGACGCATCCACACGGTAAATACACGGAATATCGGGGATTTGTCGTGTGAAGGCTGGTGAGGACTCACAACGTCTAGGCTCTCTGATATAATATATACTCTCTTTTATTTTCTCTGTGTACTGCGATGGGCCCGCAGTAAATGTAACTATTTCATGCCGATGCCGATAGTGTCAAGCACAAAAAAAAGAAAAAGAGGAGGAAGTAACGTCAACGTGTCGTTGTCGTATTTCGCGCTATTTTTCTAGAGCTCAAATTCGCGAGACCATCGATGCGCGCTTAAATTTTTATACATCAAAATGAAAAAATTTTTTCATCGTAAAATGCAGAGAAAAATAATTGAAATAAAAAAAACAGGAGCTTACTGGCACGCTTTATTTATCGTTCGTTGGGGGGCTTTATTTAACATTTTTGCAACGCGTCTCGAAACGAGATATGTATTATTTTTGCTCTTTTTCATTATTTTCGTTACGATACACCCGGGCTAGAACAATATATAAACCCTTTTTTTATGTACTTTTATAACGCAAAGCAAAGAGTCTCGAGGCGCAATTGAAATCGCGCGCTGCTAGAGATCTTTTTGACCGACGCACAAAGTCGGGGCTTTTTTTCACCGCGAAACCGCGAATGAAATTTAATAAAAAAAAAAAAAAACCCGAGGCAATTTTACGACCGCCAAAAACTTTTGATATCGGACGCAGCCCTCAAGATTAGTTCAATAAAAGCTGCTGTTGCAGCACACGAGCTTTTTCTCCCGGTCGGTATTACACGAGGACTTTTATTATTATTATTATTTTTTGTTATCAGCGCCGCGCGCAGGACGCAACGATATACAATCGCGAGCGAGGGATACGACCTCGAACTTTCTTGCGGACGACGTCTTGTATATCGTATTATATGTTTCGAGCTGAGCGATATCGATCGAGCTTTTTTGCCGATTTTTGTGCTCGCGAGCGGAACTTTCGTCACGTGCGCTCGATCTGTGTAAGAAAATCGACTTATCGACGAGATAAAAAAAAGTTTCGAGAGACCGCAGCAACGCGACAAAAAGTTCAGAGCTTTATAGATGTATATAGCGTGCCTTGAAAATCGATCTCCTTTTGTTTTTGCTACCGATCTCGATCCCGATATCCCCCATCCGCCTCGGGTAGGTAATTATACCCCATTTGTTCGCGGCAGTGCTGTGCACACGAGCACAAACACACTCGAGCCTATATTATACGACTTTCTCGAATACACATTAACTGCTTCTGCTGCTGCTCTCACATACGTTTATAAAGTCTGTTGTTCGTATTGATTTTTCGCGTGTATAAACTCGTGTGTGCGGCGCGGCTGCATTATATACCCGTTGCGAGGAATCGAGGTTAACTCGGGCCTATCACCCCAACACATACACATACACACATATATACGTATAAATCGTGTGTGTGTGTGTGTGTGTACGTGTGCAAGCTTAGCCGGCTACTACCTCTATACTAGCCGTCTGCGCATTTCAAGTAAGAAAAAGCCTACTTTTGTTCTTACCTCTGCCCCCGCGCGCTGCTGCTGCAGCTATATACATGTACGTACGGTCCTTTTTCGCTCTGTTTTGTCTCGGTTATATTCTTTCTCTCTCTCTCGTTTGAGCATTGGCAATTCTACTCGAGGCGTGATTAAAGTCACAAAATCGACGCGCTCTATTGTCCATGTTTTTTTTCGCTCTCTTGAGAAAGTAAAAAAAAAAGGAAGAAGAAGGAGAGAATAGAGGCAAGTAAGTGTAATTGCTATTAGCCACACTTGACTCTTTGAAATGACGTGACTGGAAAGAAAAAGTGGGCATTTTTTGGAAACTTTTTTCTTTTCTTATTTTTTTTTTTTAGTGGATTGCATTTGCGCTCCGAAATTGATGCCGTTTCTGCTCGGGCTTTATCTCCCTCTCTGTTACGACTTTATTATGCGAAATGTAAATTCGGTCCCTTCGCTATAAGGTAATGGCCAAGTACGAATCGGTATACATAGATATAAGTACAAAATTTTTGAGTTCAGCGCATAACGAGAGAGAAAGAGAACGAGAAAAGGAAGTTCTCTCAGGGAAACACTTCTTCTTTTTATTTTCTCCATCACGAGTTACGTCCAAGTTCAATCCAGTTCAATCGGGTTACCGCTCGATTTCGGTGCCGAGATAAATGCGCGCGGCTACGCTTTACGGTGCTGCTTATCGCGAACGATCGCGTACAATAATCGCGCGGCGATCTTCGGTCTCGTATACAGCGCGCGATATTTGTTCATAGTAAAATGTACAACGATAGGAAGAAAAAAAAATCCGCGAAACTTTGAACGATTCCTTCCTGCGCGCGGTATTATCCTCCTAACACACGCGCGCGGCGCGGGAGTTACATTACATGTGTGTATCGCGACCCGCGCGCCGCGTCGCTCGACTATACTCGCGCGTTACATCATATTTTTTTATATATTGTAACGTACCTCATGTATATAATGCTCGCGGCGATCGATCTCTCGTTTTTGTACTTAAAAAATACATGTATATAATAACGGTGATGTATAAATTCGGGCGGGTGGTGCTGTGCGGGTACTGCTATTAACGTCACGCGACGATCGACGTCGACGATGACGTTTTGGAGTCGTAGCTGCAGCTGATGCTGCTGCTTTCGCTCGCCCGAGAGAAGAGATGCGGAGTACACGCGCGAAAAAGGCCATCGTCGTCGTCGTGGCTCGTGGAAGATATAAAAGAGAGTACATAATGTAATTTTCTTACTATGAGACTGATAGAGAGAATAAAATATATACGTGTGTTATTGGGAAGCGAATAGAGCCAGACACAGTCGTGAGTCGGAGTCTTGTGTGCATTGCATATTGTATACATATACACAGATATGTACAGCAGACGGACGGACTCGCGCGAGAGCAGACTAGAGCCGTGTGTGCGCCCGCACCGATCGATTTACCACCATTGCACGCAGAGACAGACACACAGACATACAACACACACTCGTACACCACACATACACGTACCAAACCAAACGAGACTTTGATACACACACGCGCGCGGCACAGTGTGTAGCACTTTATTGCCTTCGTTTGATTCGCTTAGGTCTATTTCTTTTTTTTTCTTTTTTTTAATGCGTTCGTCGTACGGGGCTCTCTCTGGCTCACTCGACGCGCTCGACGTAAATAATATAGAGAACACGAGAAGAGAAGCAGAAAAAAAAGATTTACTCGAACGCTCCGAGAGAGCCAGAGAGATATTCCATGGCAGCGAAATAGAGAGAAAGCTTACCTTCGATGTGATACGGGTTCTTTAAAAGATCCCTGGAAAAGCAGCTACGGCAACGACGACGACTACACAACGTCAAACTTTTTTGAATATTATATATTCTGCTCCTTTGCCTTCTCTCTATCTGCGTCTTCTGCTCTCTAAAACTCTGCTGCGCTCCTGTGTATATACACGCGCGCACACACACAGCAGACTATATGCGGAGCTGTCAGCTGCAATCAGCTTGTCTACATATATGTGTGTGTGTTGGTGCGTTGGTGCCCTGCTCCTGCTACAGTGGCATTCGCAGTCGACGACTATTTTACATGCACAACTCGGGCTGGTCAACACCACGAATCTCTTTCCTTTATCGAGTGGCCTTCGGCGGCTCCTCTATTTTTTCGACCATTCACTTCTTTTAAAAATCCTCGTCCGCCTTCACGCGCACAATATTTTTTTTTACTCGTCGTCGTCGTTGTTGTCTTCTCCCCCGCTCGACGACCGAGAAGACTCACGCGATCCGATGTCTCCTTTCCGCGATTATACACGCGATTGATATAATTTTCTCTATGTATTCGCTCTTTAAACGCGGAGAGAGATAGAGAAGAGACGCACACACCGTCGTCCGTCGTCTCGAAGGCACACCGTATATAGCACTGGCAAAAGTTGGCTACAAAGTCGGGAGCGAGCGAGCGAGCTAGCTATATCGTTCGCCTGCTGCTGCTGCTTGGCTTTGGCATCGTTACGCGCAGCCGTTGCCTGGTCAATGGGTAGAGTATAGAGTATATAGAGTCGCCACCCGAGATGCGCGTCGTCGTCTTGCGCACCGTGTGTGTGGTGTCTGGCTTTTTCTCTCCCTCCATCTCTTTCTAGCTCTAAAGCTCTTTAGTGCAGCGGTATTGTGCAGGCGTCCAAGAGACTCTATATATGCTGTATATACGAAGTTCCTGGGAAAAGTCGCGAGTGGAGGCACCTGACGCCAGGACTACGACTCCTTACTAACTTGTAATTTGCACGATGCGAAATGTATATACGTCACTTACCTTGAGTTGATCCGTCGCCTGAATAGTTAACTACTTTATATATAAAGCTTATGCTATGGTTTCAAACGTAATTTTCAGCGAGCTTAGACACGAGCTATATTAATAATCGACGCACACGGGGCGATCGGTAAAGGACTCGTCGATGGTTAGGTAGGGTACAGCTGTATCGGTGGCGGGTATAAACTATCATTACCCGTATGAGCACTGACATCGAAGTTTTCTCGCTTACACGCCTGTAGTAATGTTGTAATACTTGCGTAGTCAAAATTTAATCTTTATTTTTATCGTCCGTCTTTTAACATATACGATGTATTATAACTAGGAGTGTGCGAGTACTCGATTTTTCGAGTATTGCTCGACTCGAACTCGGCTCGTCGAGCTCGAGTCGAGTTCGAGTCAAGTCTGGAATACTCGAGTAATCGAGTTTTTTCGAGTTTTGGATTACTAAAAGATGTAATGACATGTGCCTGGTCATAAGTGCATTCGCAGCGGTATATAAAGTTTTGCATCGAGCTCATGACCCGGTGTTGTTGTATTTGAAAAATTGAATTTTTCAATATTACTGATTTTCCCTTGAAAAGTCGCTGTATAAAAGTATCTGTGTAATCGAACGGGACTATACATATGTCACGACATATGTATACAATAGATACCAATGCGTTTATATGACCATACAATTACAAAATAGATGATAATGCTTATGCATAATTGCGTAGACCGAAACTCGAAAAACTCGAGTTCGAGCGAAGTACTCGAGAAAAAGCTCGGCTCGGTCGAGCCGAGCTTTTTCGAGTACTCGAACACCCCTAATTATGATACACGATAAGTAGAAAGGATGAAAATTCATTCATGCAGTGTTTATAAATATAAGTGTACCCTTGAATTACTAAAATCCTGAAAGTGCAATTTGTTACCTGTAAACCTGTACGGCCGGTCCAAAGAAAAGGTTTATATTCATAGTTTTTTTAAGAGCACTTTGTCGAGAAATTCGATTTTTGTTCGCCCAGAAACGTACTCGTGATCTTTTAAAATAAGAATGTTCGAGACAAAACTTAAAAAATTCAGAAGAACAAGATATCGGAAATTAATAATTTCGGGGGAAGGGAGAGAATTTCTATCTTGTTGAGGCCTAGCGCCCTAACGACTGCTTTTTTACTTTTATATAATTTCTTCATTGTGTCTTTTATGAAATACATACCTAGCCACGGCTAGGTTCTCTGGATTATGTATGCAACTTTTACATTTTTACGCACCCATGTTACTACTAGCCTCGTATATTATATGGAATTACATAATTCCTTAAACGGCTAATATCGTGATATTATCAAGCAATATTATTGTATTACTCAATAAGTTTAACAATTATGAATTGGGAAATTCACGAAAAAACTTAAACTTGGCCGAAATCTTGCTTTAACTGCTTTGACTTGTCTCGCCGACTCGCTGCCATGTAATATTCGAGGTGGGCATTAATTATGATTGAATATTTATACTTTTTTGAGCAACTTATATACAAAATAAATCAGCATGACAGTACGAATTTTCAATCGAAAAGACAAATAACTTTTCGTTTTAGTTGGATTATAAATTAAATTGTTTAATATTTGATTAAATTTTTACATGTTGATGTGTGTGTGAGCGCTGGTGCCGATACGCGTCGTACGTTGATGTTATGTAGAGGGAAAGTAATAATAATAATTGTGTAGCGCGACTGAATTATGGCGCGTAATTAAGTAAATAATAAAAGTAAGGGGGTATTTTTGGGGTACATAAAGACGTTACACATCTCACGGCTTTTTTTATACAGCTGATTTTTAGGATTGTTCGGTTATAAGTTTTATTTTCCATTATTAAATTTGTTTTTAATTTTTCAATTTATTTATTTGCTTCATATGAAAAATTTACAACATTTAATATCACATAAGAAAAATAAAAAATTCTGAACCAGCTGCTTGATGATGGTTTTACAGCGCCTCATTCAATAATATCTTCGCCATTTGGCGAGCAATAATTTCCTCTGGAAAGTCGGTGAGATTCGGATCGGCTCCATTTTTGAGCAGCAATTTGGCCACTTGCTCGTGTCCACCCTTCAGAGCCAAGTTCAGCGGTGTGTTGTTCAACTTGTCGAGAGCATCGATCTGCAACGGCCGATGCTTTTCGTCGCAGAGCGCGACCACCATCTTCGCCAAGAACCAATCGTCGTCCATTCGCTCGCAAATAACGTGCAGCGGAGTCCGTCCCTCCGAATCGGCCAAATTCGGATTAGCGCCGTTTTTCATCAGTAAATTGAACGCGTATCTGCGCTCGTTCAGCCCTTCCAACTGCAGCGCGTAGTGCAGCGTCGAGAAACCCGTTATCCAGTCGACGCAGCTGGGATCCGCCCCGAGCTCCAGGAACTTCTCGGCGATGTCTCTGCGGCCGAAGCGGCAGGCCACGTGGAGATGCGTCAGGCCGAACTCGTCGACGCAGTTCACGTGGAATTTATCGTATATCTTAAAAAGATTCCACATGATTCCGTCATTGATGAGGAAGCGGATGAGCCGAGGATTGCATCTGACCGCGTGATGGAGCGCAGTGGTGCGACGCGTCAGTGGCTGGCCGTCTTGATCCACGCTGGGCTCGTCCTTGAGGCCGCTGCAGGCCACGAACCTGATGATACCCTCCCACCCGAAATTCACGAATGAACGGCTGTCTCGAGGCTGCCGATCCCATAATAAACGGTAGAAATTCATCATATCCGTGAGGAAACGGTTGATTTCTTCGGGTCGAAAAATTTCCCGGAGGTCGGGAGGATTTCGCCAAAGTTTAACTAGCTCACAAACGTCACGATAATATGATAATCCCACATCTTCGTTCTCGAGATTGACTCTTTTTCGTACAAGACTTTGAAATTGTTCCAACATGGACATTGTTCCGACTAATCGCCCACAGAGCACAGACACTAATTATGTAAAAAAAATTTTTTTTTTCAGTTTCAATCACTCGCTGCAGCCGATGTAGTCTCTACGTGTATACGGCGACTGTACACCCGCCGGGTTAGATACTCGGACCTCGAAAATTTGAGATCGATTAGTTGCTTCCTTCACTGCGCAGGGTCCGTCGTAAAAATGTAGTCACGCGCTGTTGTTTATAAACAGTGAAGGAAGCAACTAATCGATCTCAAATTTTCGAGGTCCGAGTATCTAACCCGCCGGGTGTACATACACTACTTTAGAAAGTCGAAAACGTGTGGGTACAGAGATAGCTGTATATGACAGCGCACATGGCAGCACACATGCGCTACTATGAAAAAAAGAGAGCGAGAGAGATTCAATGCCACATCTATGTTTTTACCAAAAAACAACAGCTTCGAACATTTGAAAAATAAAACGCACACGCGTTTATTTTACATCGAGCTACTCGAGTGTTTTTAAATTTTAAGCTTTTGAAATGCATATTTTGTTAAGATTTTTTCCCGTAGAATCACTTGTGCTTTTATTGGTTTTAGCCTACACAATTGTTTTGCAGTGGTGAAATTGACACGTTTTTGAATTTTTGAAGACGAAAAAAAATCAATTAAATGATTGAAAAATCATTCATTCGGAGAAATTTATTTAACTTATTATTTAATATTCGTTCCTTTTATTTGCCAAGTTAATATCTGTAATTATTATAATTACCTGCGCATTGATTTTGAGGAAAAAGATTACATGTTTTTACCATATTTTGTTTTATAATTGTTTAATTATTACAAAAAAATTTAATAATATATGATAAGAGTGTTGATGGCAAAAGAGGCAATCAATATATTCATTGAGTCATAGTGACGAGTTGGGAGTAGATATATTGATTGATCCATGGTAATGACTTGTGAGTCGGTAACGTTTCTAATCCACACAGCGGAAGATTTCAGTATTTAATTTCTTTATATCGAAAATAATGAATGATGCAAGTCAAGAACTCATGGCTCTCACTACTTTCTATTCAGTAGTTAATTCTCTGAGCGTTAGTGCGGTAGTGATCTCCCGAGTACATGTCCCGAACGCAAAAGTCAGTGTTCAGTGCTACAATCGAAATTTATTCATAACGGAAATTATTTATATCAGAAAATTCAATTGAAAATGTCTTCAAAAGAAGAAGCCGCTTGTCATCTTCGTGTAAGAGAAATAAAAAATCTGTTAAAAAGTATAAAACAAGGAGACGCCAGAGCAGAAAAGTATTGTCAAATCTATCGGAAAAGTAATTGCATCACGCGTATATATTTAAGGAAATTAATGAACTGCAAAAGCCTATTTCCGCGCGTCGAAGATAAAATATTTTTTTTTACGTATAATGTAAAAAACAGACATTTTACCTCTACCGAGGTTATAGAATATCTCGAGAAGATCAATTTTAACGTACACGAGTTCAGACTCGAAGATGGAAAGTCTGCTGTGCATTATGTTGCTGATTTATACGAATCGAAGCAAAAACGGTTTGATCTATATACGTCTTTCATTGAACATTTCTTTCGGAATTATCCGCGAAAAAACTACTGCGACGCTCATGGTTACACTTACTTTCACGCAGCCTGCATGGTGGCTGATGCAAGAGTCGTGAAGAAATTTCTGAGGGAAGGCGTGAACGTCAATCTCGACATGTACACGCGTTCGCCTCTGTTCATTGCGGCCCAGTACAAGCACGAAAAAATTGTGAAATTATTGCTGGAGCACAGA